CGACATGTACTTGGCTTCCTCCTGCACATCTCCATTCAGCCCTTGTGTGCTCTCGGGCAGCTTGGAGGAATTTGTGGCACTCTTGTGTAAGTGTGTGTGTGTGTTCAGGCCCACCTTGGCAGTGGCACTAGCTATCAGCAGGGCCCAGCCGGCGTGCTAGCAGTGAGACCGTAGTGTTTGTAACAAAGCCGCTCTGACTGTAACGATTCACATTTGTCCCCTGGGCGAAGCGAGGTGGAACCTTCCAGGAAAGAGGCTCTAAATGGATCTGTGGAGGGCGGCGGTGGCGATGGGTGAGGGTGGCTGCGAAGCTGTGCATCGCCATGTGTGCTGAGGATGTGTGCACGCCACTCGGACCCTGCTCACGACACGCAGCCAGGACGCCTGGCCAACGTGTCGCACGAGACACGACAATGAGATGGAGGAAGACTTCACTTCACCCGGAGCAGTTTTATTTCTTTCTTCTATGGTTATTTTTTTGTCTCGGTTTCTTGTGGCCGCTACAATGGTTTCTTCTTTCTAACATGTAGTGTTGTTTCTGATCCTGATACGCACCCTCTTTCTTTCTGTAATTCTCAGTCGTTAAGCACCACACAAAAACAGAGATGTTAATCGCAGCTGATGCCCGTCGCTCGACCATCTTGCCCAGAACACATGCCCATCCTCCACCGAGAAGTTTCTCTGAGAAGTTTTCTTTATTACTATGATCTGTTACTCATAAACACCCCGCCGCCCTCATTTGCGTGATCTCGCCAAGCATCAATCTGCTGTCGGTTACAATGTCGGGCGGAAGGGCCGCTGCCACTGATATGGTATGAAAGCTTTAAATAGCCGCGTGGCTCAGATTGCAGGGTGTCAGGGCCTATCGGCTGAGGCAGGGAGGATAGTGATGATGATGATGATGATGATGATGATGGTGGTGGTGTAGTGGTGGTTGGACTGGGTGAAGTGGGTCAGGTCCGAAGTGAGCGGACATGCAAGTGACACCGGCGTGTGATGTGACCCGTTAGCGGTTGGGGTGGATGGACTCAAGGCAGCTCTCGTCCTGTCTGTCTCCACCGATACAGGACGCCGGTAGCCACGGGGCAAACAAATCAGTGGAAGTCAGAGTGACGCTGGCTTAGGAGTTTGCTGCTCTGCACTTCACTGCACTTCGTGGCCACTCTGAGCTGCAGCTCTGCTTTAGATTCTTCAGAGATATAGTTTATATCGAACATTTGTTTGTTCATCTGGTCAGGCCTTCTTTGTTTTTTGTTTTCTTTCTCGCCAAATTATACACCAGCAGATGTTGATTTAGGGCTTCTTTTTGGTTAATTCAAGGTTCTTTCTTTCTGCCTCCCTTTATTCTTTTTCTTTTTCTTTCCATTTTGAAATCTACTCTCGACATTTAGAGCTTGTGTGACAAACAAATCTCAACTCAGTCTACTTTGGGTTTTTTAGAGCTTTCAACCACATCTAACAAGCTTCCTCTTCATTTTCCTTCATTCCTCCTTCAGCCAATTTATATCTGTGATTTTCTCCGTCTTTATTCCATCCTTTTTATCAAGAGTGTAGATTTATGAGCTCCTTTATATTTTAATACTTGTTTATTTTCTTTTGCAGCACCATGCATCTAATTCCACTTAGCCTACCTTTACATTCATACAGCAGAACATAAAATAACAAGATCAATTTACTCTAAATCCGGCCAAATTGCGTGGTGGATTTACCACAGAACTACAGAGCTAGATGTCTTTGACCATGATATTAGCTGGTGTCTTCTTGTCTCTGCCTAAACAGGGCATTTGTAGCCACGGGGCAGCAGCATATCAGAGGTGATCAGCATGATGCAGGCTGAGAGGACACACGTACACACTCACAGCTCTACTTTGTATTTGTTGCAGGGTTCCAGTCAAATCCTGTTAAAATTCCTTCAAAAATCCACAACCCCAGGAAACTGTAAAATCACCTCTGTCTGATGTAAAAACATGTTGAGAATGAATACTCCACTGACATTGCACACAATGCTGTTCAAAAGGCGGCTGGTGCCCCATGTACCAAGGCTGAATCCTTGCTGCAGAGGCCGTGGGTTCAACTCCGACCTGTGGCCCCTTCACTGCGTGTCACCCCCCCCCTCTCTCCCTCTTTACTGTCAGTCTTAAAGAAGATCTTATCAATCCGTTACACGCATCAGTCCTTTACAAGTTGTTTCATGATGACGTGATATAATTTACCACACGCAGGTGTAATTCCATAGGTTTACCAGTTCCAGTGATCTGGTTTTGTGTACGTTTGCTGATGGTATGGCCTTTTTTGGGCAACTTAATGGAATGGTGCCATAGTTAAATGTACTACAAGGACTTTTTAACTGATTATGAAACTATATGAACTACATAAACAAACAAGACCAGAGAAGATTGGCTATTTCCATATTCTTAATGCCTGCCACCGCCTCAGATTTGGTTGGACTACCCTCAAAATCAGTCAAAATGAGGCGGTAGAAACGCTTGGACTTATAATTAAATAATGTCGCCAGTTACCAAACTCTCAGGTATCATAACCAATAGAAATGACGGCCAAAGCTATGAAAGAAAGACCAGAGTTGTAAGGATTAGGATTTCTCCTAAACAGATTGGCTTTAGAGACCTAAAACATGTCAGCTCTTTTCACCGCCCCCATGTGTGTCTTCAACTTAAGTAAGGCAGGAATTGAGTTGTCAGAAACGCTGTGGAACCCAAAGAAAGAGCGGCACAACAGAGGCCGATGGCTCCCAGGAACAACCAACCAACCAACCTTCATCAAAACCCCAACAATAACTACTTGAAAAGATTTTTGTTGCCAATTTGTGAACATTTTCTTCGCTGCCGTTGCGTCTCTGAAGGCCAAACCCGAAAGACTTTGGGATTCCAGTCAGACTTGAGCGATGATTAGATTGCTTCACCCAATTCTTCTATCATCTGTCTCCCAGTGCCTTTAATATGCAAATTGTAGGTATGCAAAGCTCTGATGCTTTTATTTAAAAGACATGTCCTCAGGCGATAGCAGTGGGCTTCCAGGGAGAGCTCTGTTTTAGCATGAAATAAATAGTTGTTAAAAGGATCACACAAGTTTGCATCTTGGAAGATGAAAAGCTAATTGACATGAATAATTTATTTGTATTGCAGTATCTTAAAGATATCAAATAGCGGTGGATAAATAAAACTTGAGTTCAAACATGATATTGAGCGTCGACGGGGCCTTCCGAATATTCAAAGGGAATTACATCTTTCAGATTAGTCGTCATCCTTTAAACTCATAATGGCATTTGTCCTAAGGTCACTCCACTGCAATTATCAAATATTACCAGAATACTCAGAGGTATTAAGAATAATGATGTGAATATGAATCATTAAGTTGCTCCCTCGTTCAGGATAGTAATGCCAGGTTTTTTTGGGGGGAGGACATGAGCGGAGAGATGAAGTTGAAACTTGTCATCAGGTGTACAGTTAGTTGTTAGTTCAGGTTGAGAATGGAGGTTTAACAGTGATGTATTTTGATTGTGTGACTATTGCTTCTGAAATGTGCATTCTTCTACTGTGTTATGGTAAAGAGAACTCTCATAAACTGCCATTATATTTGGAAAATGTGTATTTTTCTGTTGCTGCCCTGAATTACAAAGGTCAAAGGTCAACTCTTCTGTTCTCTTCTCTTGCTTAATTGGCCGATCTTGATTAAGTGTCTTTAAAATGTCAAAAAACTAATATTGTGAAATAAATAACTTGACTCATGGTCCAAAACTTTAACAATTATCAATTTATTGGTTTTATTTGGTATTTTTGCTCAGAAAATGATGTGGTTGATGGACAGTTTTCTGTTTTTTTCTGATCTGTGGTGCTTGTGTTTTCCACTGTGGTTTTATTTGTTTGTTCTCACATCTGAAAAATTAATATGATGATTTATGATATTGTTGGTGTCAAAATGACACATAAAGCATAATTTTGCAACATTGATTTCTGTGGGTTTTGGCTTTAGAAGATAGTTGCTCATCTTAAATAACGACTGGAGCAGCTCTCGGTTTTGGGAATAATTTGTGAAGAAAATGTGTGCTTGTTCCCCCTGAGTTCAGTCTGAGATCCAATCAAATCACTTTCTGTGATCGACTGACATTTTCCCAAAATGACGAAGCCCACCCACCAGGCCCTCCACCCAGGCTAAAAGCGAGCGCTCAAAGTGTTTTAAAATTGCAGTTTGACCCCTTGCATAGAGGAGGTCCACACACTCCGAGTTTAATCCTACTCCATATCTCTGTTGGCATAGTTAGAATTCAGAAGTGCTCAGCTCTAACTGGAAGGCCCTTCTGATTAGAGAAAGCCCACAATGCCCTCTATTGTTGTTGTGAACTTTTGACTGCGTGGGCCGGGCCTCAACAGTGGCGAGCTGCACTGAGGAGTCGGCAGCGGGGCGGAATATTTGACATTTCTCCGTGATGACAGCCTTGTTACTACTCTCATTTCGTACTGTATGCATCCTCTCTGTGTGGACCCACGTCTCCCGTGGCAACACAAAATCTGATTTGGATGACAAATACTTTCCGGCTCTGGAGTGTGGACTGTTTTGGCAAACTCCACCCAGCTTTTACTCAAATTGAGGCCTGAGCAGTTATGTTCAAGGACCATTTGACATACGCTGGGCGTAAATGTGCTCTTCAGGGACACAGTCAACGTGGTTAGGACGAAGTATCCGAAGCTCTTTTCTAGTATACACAAGTGGTGCAAAAACAATCTAAAAGGATAAAGGACCTGAAAGAATAAATGTCATGTATAACCCTATTTCACTGTTGGTAAATCAATACCTCTTTGAAACTCTTCAAATAGATAAAGTGAAAAATTCTGTATACAGTCCAAACTTATTTTTTATATTCATTTATGATTATATTATTATTCCTGTACATATTTTGTTTTGGAGTTTGAGTGTCTCACTATGTATTTTTCTTACTTTCTGTGACCTGTGTCCCTGTTTATGTCTCTCCCTGTGTGATTCAGACAGCCAGGCCACCGAGGAGAGGTAAGTGTTCGCTATAGTGCCCCTGCCAATTAAGGGTTAAAACCTGGGGAAAAACGCTTAATAGTGTTATAAATCTTAATTTGTAGACCACTCAGACTTTGTCTAATGCTGTCTAATTGACGAATTTATCTTGGAAAAGTTTTTATTGTCGAGTGAAGCACAGCAGTTATGCTAATTGTGTTATGCTAGTTTACTAATTAGGCTGGCTCCATGCAGGTGGTTAAACAGGACTCTTATTTTTAGGTGTTGTCCGGTCACATGAAGCTACTGTGCGGATTTTATTGCATTTTATTCAGGTATGTGAGTTTAAACTTTTATTAAATGTACTGTAATGTTTGGGGTATGTTCTGTTTAATGTTGACACTTTATTTACTCCATTTTGTTGTTTAAATCTTCCCTTTTGTTATATCCGGAAGTAGTATGCTTATTTATTTATATTTACAAAGCTGTTGACGTGTGGTGTGCAACTGTGCATGTGGAAACCCTTCCATATGAGGTTCATGTACTGACTTTATTTTATTTCAATCCAGAGAGAATAAAGCCCCAGTTGGCATGAGAGCAGTGGATTTTGTAGCAAGATGAAGAGCTATGTAAGGTAAGCTGTAACTACACTCACACAAATGTATGTAAGAATGTTTGAATGTGAAAATACATTGATGCCAGTGTCAATGCTCTGTATTAGAGCTGTACAATTAATTAAAATATTATGGAATATGGCCGAGTGAAATATCCATTTGATAAAGGTAAAATGTATTATAAAGTCCTGTAGCGCTGCTGCAAATCTTATTCTCCAGATGTTTCTTCAGTGAAAAACAAAAAGTGATGTGAACATAATAATTCCTACTAATCATTAATCATATTGTAATTTTAACACTGTACACTGTATGTGATCAGCTCCTACTCCAACTGCTACAGCTACACCTGCGGTTACGTATGCTACTTCTACAGTACTTGTACATTAGTATCTATAATCAGTGGTGGAAAGTATCAAAGTACATTTACTCAAGTATTACTTCATACTTCTACTCACCGTTTTAGTTACTTTGTAGAGCCAGATTATTGAACCACAATATAATCAAAAACTACGGTATGATGTATTTTTGTAGACTGAGCTACTCGGCATTATATAAAGTAATTAGAATTTGCTCCACCATTAATGAGCCATTCTGCATGAGTAGTACTTTTACCTTTAGTGTGTTATGTATGTTTTGATCCTGATGCTTCTGTAGTTTTATTTTACTAACTTGTAACTGAGGATTTCTGTATGATTTTGTTGCCACCACTGCTACTAATACACTTGTACTACTTCAGGTACAAGTACACTATTACTACTGGTACTGCTACTTCTACTGTGACTGATACTGGTTGTACTCCTCCTTTCTGTCACCCTATCTGCTTCATGAACTACAGTACACCTTTTCTACTTAGGTTTGTAGCGTTCATTGGGATGTTGTCGATGGGACTGTGTGATTTCTGTGAACTACTTTTGGGTTTAGATTAAAATGAGTTTGTGCATGAGAGGAAGCGGTTCTTGTGGAGCCTGTTACGTAAGCCAGCAAAGCCTCTCTAATAGCCTATCCACTTTGTTTTACATCTAAGCTAGATTTTTACATAGGCACTGACCAAGAGGACATTTGCATTGATTCATGGGTATTGGTAGGAGCTCCTTAATGCTGAAAACAAGTGCGATCATACAACCTCTCTGCTGTTAAATCACACTCCGAGCCCTAAAATATCCTCTATTTTGAAGTCACACGGTGCACAAATGAAACCCAGCGTGGTAATATGAAGCAGGGTATTTAAACTCACAGTTCTTCTCGACCGAATAGCAAGTGTTAAATGAGAGAAGAGTGGAGCCTTAGAATAAAGAAATACATTCTTTTTGGGGAGGTGAGGGGCTGACAATGAACCCCCTCGCTCCTAGTTGAGCCTGCGAGAGGCCGACTTGTTCATCCCTTGTTATGCCGCTAATGTGTATGATTTAAGGGGGAATTATGCACATCTCAATGTGCCTATAAATGACATTATTCATGCACAGGTGCTGCACTAAGCAGCTCCTGAATGATAATTAAGATAATCTTTCTCTTTTTTTCTTCCTTCACGCTCACTCCCTCCCTTTTCTCACGGATCCACTTTGTTCAGGCAATATCTCCTGTGTCAATACCTCGCTAGACTGCAGCCCCTCTCCCCTCAGCCATTGTCTGATCCTTATTCAGCACTAAAACCCGCACTAACAAGTGAGACCACGTCTGTGTTTCTCCCCCGAGCCTGACGGTATTTCTGAGAAATAACGTGCCAAGTTGAATTAAAGTGAGAGAATAAAAAAAATAAAAAAACTTTTGCAAGGCAGAAACTTGGCTGCAGCGTTCCCGAGGGAATTCACCGCGCAATGAATTTCTCAAACGAGAATATGAAGACATTGATGTCGAGCACTTTGCATATGATAAGCTCTTTTTCCATAAAGAGAAATGATTAGTTTTGGAATGGTTAGGAAATGTTGCTGGGGAAAAAGTGTTCCAGGCTCTCAGATATTAAGGACATTTAGAATACATTAAAAAAAAAAGAGAAATTTTGTCATAGTTAGGAGGTAAGTTATGCCAGAATTATGGTTTTAAACTCAGGTTTTCTGATAAAAATGCACTAAAGCTAAACTTTCTGACTTTGCACAGAAAGGACACATGAATCACATTTCTGCTGCTCTGTTTGGACAGTAGTGAGGCGCGTGGTGCCAAATCTTGGTGTAGACGTGCATCAGCACAGAGCTACAGTTAGTGAATCCAGCTTCATTTGTGTTATTGGGGAACCAGAGGCTTTTGGGGCTGGAACCCCTCTCCACTGTGGTAAACAGTGAGTGATGATTATCGTCGCTTACCAAAAGGAAATCCAGCTGTATTGTTTTAGCATGGCCACTTGTTTACAAGAACCTCTTTCCAGTGTATGGACTGTGCTTGATTCAGTTTTCTTTTGTGTGCAAATCACTCGTTTTGTTTGTATTTTTTCGATTTTCTTGTTGTGTTATGCTCCGAGTCGGCCCTCTCTCCGGCCCATGTTGTGAGGGAAGCCATCCAGTGTCTTTGCGGCCTGCAGCTGGGTTTCATTACCCGGCTTTTGCCACACCCTTTGATTTCAAATAAACACACTTGGTATGTATACCAAAGCAGGGACAAATAGAAGCTGCAAATAATTCATAGCATTTGTTTTAAACCGCTCCGGTTGCCAGATGGGTGGAGTTTTGTGTCAACACTGTCTAGGACTGTCAGGTAAAGTGCCAGCCACATGAACGGTTACATATCAGATGACAAGTGCATTTAATGATGACCCCACAGGGATTATCTCCAACTGTCCACTCATCTGTATTGAGCAGTTTAGTGTTTTTCAGCACTTTGTTCTGGTTTTCTGCCAGAAAAACCTCAACCTAGCTGGGTTCTAATAAACCCACCTTAAGCTATTTTCCCAGAACCAAATGCAGAGAGACAAAGTTACCGGCTAGCTGCTGAACATCTTGGAGCATTTAGCAGGTAAAGGGAGAAGAGAACTAAAATGAGAATGATGGAGTGATTGGAGTCAAATTCATCAGGTGGATTAAATACGACTCTAATAAATGCTAATGTTGGTCTGTGTCTGCTGGACAAAAAATTAAAAATCATTTAATGCAGCTTTAAACAACCTATAAACTGGGTAGAATTGGGCCTTCAGCTTAATTAGTAGTTTTGAATAACACATTTACTTTTAATGGAGTAGCTTGACTGTTGTTGTATTGCTACTGTAACTGTTAAAATAAGAACTTCTCCCACCACTGCAACATATGGATTTTAAGCACCTTTTTGGGGCTGTGATTCCCTCCACACATTTGGATCTCCAAGGCGTTTAAATTATGACTTTTTTCACAAGTAAAGTCTGGTCACAGATGGATGTGTTTGTGAGGAACATGGGACATACATTTGCGTGGTTTTTGCTGCAGAAAATATGCCATCATAATAGTCAACAAGTCCTCCAAAACTAAATGGAAAAAATAGGTTCCTTGTTTTCCAGCATTTTCTGATCTGACGCCCCTGTTGGCGGGACGACAGCATTTGTTCAGTACCCTCAAAAATGTGTATGATGTTGACAATGACAAAAAAGTTTTCTGAGTTGATTCGTAATGGTTTGTTTTGGTTAGGTTTAGGCACAAAAACTACTTGGTTAAGGTTAGGTCAGTCTACAATAGTACTTCTTTAAAAGCCAAATTAGGATTGAAACATAATAAGGGAATAATGTGAATTTAGTACAGTTACATAGTAATTAGTGGCACTTAAAGGCTCAACAGCAGCTCTTACAGTGCTGTTAAAGAAAAACCTTGGACCACAGACTACATCTGTCATCGCTGCAGTCGCAAAAGGCAGAATTAACTTCCTCTAAAACCCAGATTTCCTCTGCAAATGACACTGAATCATATATATTTGAACTGTGCCTCCTGGCTACAGCGTGTCCTGAAATGTCTTTAATAAGGATGAGGATGTTAAGGGGCTGGTATAGCTCCAGTTTTAGATTAGAAATAACCCGGCAGAACGCTTGACTTACAGAAAAGGTTAGGTTTAAACACAACACATTAATCTCTGCTTCTCGTTTGCACATTTATGGATCTGAGTAAGTGTGTGTTTCTCTGTGTGTGTTTTCTGGACAGAAACACCCACTGCCATTAACCACAATATGAAAAAGCAATTACAGAAATGAGACTGTGCAGGGAGAAGTGTCCAAAATATGAAAAAGCAAATTTTTAAATCAGTGTTTCTGGGGAGGAAGGTTTGTCCATGTTATCAGCTTAATCTAAATATGATAAGGCAAAGATGAAAATCAATAATTATGGAACATAATATACTCTGAGGATGCCGCTCTGCGCAGCCCTGCTGTATATCAGCACTCCCAACAGCAGCAGGAATGTGTACACAGGCCTCACAATTTCCACCTGATTACAACGATAGCAGCTCATATCTGTTTTCACCGGCTGTGCGTCTTTATTCCTTTTTTTGTGGCAGAAATTGCAGCTTTTACTGATGACAGGCAATTTGAAAGTGCCCTTGTTGAATAGTCACAGGTGCCATGTTGTTTGAATGGAGAAGACTAGCTGCAAATAGCTGAAGTGGTTTTCATTTGTTTCAGTGTGCAGGAAGAGAGAACACAAAAGTGTATTCAGAGTAAAAGGCTGTTTTATGTGGCCATTAGAAGATTGGAGTTTTAGTTACACAAATATTTTACGATGAGGAAGCAATAGTCTCATTGGCTGAAGAAAACCATGAGGAGCGGAAGCAGTGGACTA